AGATCGTGCCACTGTACTCCAGCCTGGTGACAGAGCAAGACTGTGTCTCAAAAACAAACAAACAAAAAACAACTGGCCTGCCAGGTTAGAGGGCTCCCATTTTCCTTCCAGGAACTAGATGTTTGCTGAGTGTCTGCCTGCTGCGGAATCTCCAGCCAGGCCCTGGGTGGGAAGAAGGGATGGGGTAAATCCTGGTGCCTGGGTAAGCCACTCATGATCTGGTTCTTGCTGAGGCACGAATCAGAGGGCAGAGCACAGCAGGGCTCATGAGGCCAGAGCTCCTGCTCCCCACGCTTGCTTATCTCCCAGAGCAAGGTGACAGCATGAAGTTGTTACTCTCCCTGACCATGGGTCCAACCCCAAAAAACACTTGGCCCCAGCATGATCTCAGTCTTTCTCATCTTCATATACCTAAAACCTGAGAAAACTTTCTGGGAGCAGCTCAGCAACAAGAGAGCTCCTCCTACCTCCACTCTCCAGTCACACTTTCCGCCCAGACTACTCCCTTGGCAGTAGGTCTGTATCGTCGGCTTATCTATGCCTGCCTTGTTTACCAGAGTGAAAGTTTCTAGGAAGAGCATGGAGTCTTGAGGCTGACCGTTCTGGGTTTGAATCCACTTCTGCTTCCTGCCTTTATAATCTTATGCAAGCCACTGTACTACCCTGAGCTTCAGTTTTCTCATTTGTAGGTTTCTTTTTTCTTTTTCTTTCTTTCTTTTCTTTTCTTTTTGAGACGGAGTTTCGCTCTTGTTGCCCAGGCTGGAGTGCAATGGGGTGATCTCAGCTCAACGCAACCTCCACCTCCTGAGTTCAAGCGATTCTCCTGCCTCAGCCTTCCTGAGTAGCTGGGATTACAGGCATGAACCACCATGGCTGACTAATTTTGTATTTTTAGTAGAGACGGGGTTTCTCCATATTGGTCAGGCTGGTCTTGAACTCCCGACCTCAGATGATCCGCCTGCCTCAGGCTCCCAAAATGCTGGGACTACGGGCGTGAGCCACTGTGCTGGGCCCTCATCTGTAAATTTCATGTTACCATTTGACTTGGAAGGCACTCAGTAGTGGTAGCTTTCTTTAGCTTCCAATTTGCATACAAAGAATGCCGTCCACTTTGGGAGGCAGAGATGGGTGGATCACTTGAGCTCAGGAGTTTGAGACCAGCCTGGGCAACATGGCGAAACCCCGTCTCTACAAAAAAAAAAAAAAAAAAAAAAAAATACAAAAACTAGCTGGGCATTGTTGTGCGCACCTGTAGTCCCAGCTACACCGGTGGCTGCGATGGGAGGATGACTTGAGCCTGGGAGGCGGATGTTGCAGTGAGCAGAGTCTACCCTTCCCTGACAATGTGGTAGGCTAGAAAGTCAAATGGAAAAAAAAAAAAAAAAAAGCACTCTGTGTTGTTCAGAGAAAGGGCGTTTGAACCTGGGCACCAAGAAGTGAGTGCCTGAGATCAGAACTCATAAACTGCCAGACCATCACAGCTGAAAGGGTGGAGAGATGATGATGATGATTAACAGCAGGAAACGTTTTTGAAAAAGTGCTCTCTACAGGTGTTTTTGTTTGTCTCGGCTTTCCCCTTTAAAATCGTGTACTTTGCAATATCTTATTTAATCCTCACGGCAACCCAGTGGGGGTGGGTATTATCACTGTTTTACAGATGTAAAAACTAAGGTGTATAAAGTGTCCAAGAACACACAGTCAGGAGCCAGGACTCCTAATTCCAGAGTTCGTGCTCTTAACTGCCTTTAGCTGCTTTGGTGACTGAGTCTAATCCAACAATTTTACAGATGAGGCTCAGGGAGGGGAAATTGTCTTACCCAACTTTTACGCAAGGGAAATAGAATTTGGGCCTCCCTTCCGGGCGCCAATCTGGACAAGGAATTATCACAGAAACTCAGATTTAAGAAACATTTATTAAGTAGTTGCATCATTGCAATCCATCCTCAAAGCAGCCTCCACTAAGTATTATAGTACTTCGTGTTACAACACTGATCATATGGGGAAATAAGCTAAGAGGGATAATTCCCCCCAAGATCAATTTAGCAAAATAGCGGCACTGTCGGGATCACACATTCAGGTTCAGAGGCTTCCAGCAGTTTCATCAACCTAATCCCAGGTTCCTCCTTCCTGCACCTGTGGGTATGAACAAACTCCCCCATCCCCGGACCTGGAGCCCGCTCAGAGCGGTGCATTCTGGGATTCGCCCGCGAAGAATGCCGACTCTTTGGGCCAATAGAATCCGAGCATAGGCGACTGTATCCACCTTCGCTGTCTGCAGGTTGCTCAGGCCTCCCTCAAACTAGCCAATGAGAAGTGCACGGGTCCTGGTCGCCTAGGAAACCGCGTGACAACAAGATGGCGGCGCCGCGGGACGGCTAGCGGCCCTGCGTGGTGAGTCTGGCCCAAGACTTTTCTGCCCCTAGAGTCCTCTCGCAGGCTGGAGCCCGAGCCCCTAGAGCCCCGTGGGCCTGCGAGCTCCGCGGCTCCCACAGGAGAGGTTCGGGACCCTGCTTACCATGATTACTCGTGGAGGGGGAAGGAGGCGACACGGCTTCCAGGGCTGGGTTAGGTCGTGATAGACGTCTCTCCCTAAACGCGTCCTGGGGGCATTAGGGAGTGACGGCTGGCTACGGGCCGGACCGTGTCCCCGCCAGAGCTCTGGGCCCTGGGGATGACGGCTAGGCCGAGGAGGTGTGAAGAAGAATGTTGTGAGTCAACCACAGCACTGAGTTTGGTCCCAGAGATGTAGAGGCATGGTACACAGCTTTGCTCTCAGCCAGATCTGAAGTGGGTGACAACCCTGCGTTAAGGAGCTTTTGACCTGAGGGGTAGTCACAGTCCTGCCCTTGGAAGCCCCAAAGTGAAGGAGGTAGACGACTCTGTCCTCAGGGCTCCCTAATCTGAAGGAGGAAGAGACACGCCCCTGCCCTCAGGAGCCCCCCCAAACGGAAGGGGAAATGCAGCCTTTGCCCTCAGGGTCCCCTGTAATCTGGGAGAAGATTAACCTGGAGACAATGTGTTGGATTGGACTGGAGTGACACTGGAAGTAGGGAAGTCAGTTGGGGGCCACGTGACAGCTCCCAGAATGGGCAGTGAGTTCCACTAGGATAGCTGACAGTGGGCATGGAAAGGGGCAGCTATGTGTGAGACAGTTTAACCTGCAGGGTTTGGTGTAAGAGGAAAGATGGCCTAAGAGGGAAGGAAGGAGAGAAAAATGCTGTGGTTGGGTGATGGGGTCCCATTAAGAAGGGGGAAGGGGAGGAAGTGAGTTTGACGAAGATGTTGAATTTGGTTTAGGAGTTTTTTGTCTTTTGTTTTCCCCCCTGTGACAGCTTTATTGAGATATAATTCACGTACTACATACTTCACTCCTTTAAAGTGTAAATTTCAATCGTTTTTAGTATATTTTAGTATATATTCCATTTATATGAAATGTGCAGTATGGGCAAGTCTATAGAACAGAAAGTAGATTTGTGGTTGCCTAAGACTGGCTGGGAAAAGGGGTGGGGGCTGGAGAGTAAGTGGTGACTGCTAGAGGGTACAAGGTCTTTTTAGGCTGATGAAAATGTTCTAAAATTGTGATGGTAGTACAGCTCTGTGAATATACTAAAAACTTAAATTTACACTGTAATAAGGTGAAATATGTGAATTATATCTCAAAGCTGTTTTATGAAAAAGGTTGCATACTGTATAATTACATTTATGTAACTTTTTTGAAGTAATATAGAGATGGACCGGGCGCAGTGGCTCACGCGGGTAATCCTAGCACTTTGGGAGGCTGAGGTAGGAGAATTACTTGAACCTGGGAGGCAGAGGTTGCAGTGAGCCGAGATCGCGCCATTGCATTCCAGCCTGGGCAACAAGAGCAAAACTCTGTCTCAAAAAAAAAAAAAAAAAGAAAAAAGGAAAGAAAATAAAAAGAAAATTAGAGATGGAAAATAACGTACTGGTTGCCAGTGGTTAGGGCTGGGGGAGGGGTGCAGGATGGGTGTGACTATAAAGAGGGCCATGAGGAAGATCTTGGTGGGGCTAGAATAGTTCTGTATTTTGATTGCAGTGGTAGTTACCCATGTAACTTGACCTATGTGATTTAATCTACCCATGTGATCAAACAGCATAGAACTATACATACAAACTGTAGAAAAAATGTCAATTCCTGATTTTAATATCATACTGTAGTTATATAAAATCTAACTATTGGCTGGGCACAGTGGCTCACGCCTGTAATCCCAACACTTTGGGAGGCCAAGGTATGTGGATTCACGAGGTCAAGCATTTGAGACCAGCCTGGCCAACATAGTGAAACCCTGTCTCTACTAAAAATACAAAATTAGCTGGGTGTGGTGGCATACACCTGTAATCCCAGCTACTTGGGAGACTGAGGCAGGAGAATCACTTGGACCCAGGAGGCAGAGGTTGCAGTGAGCTGAGATCGCGCCACTACACTCCAGCCTGGGTGACAGAGCGAAACTCAATCTCAAAAAACAAAACAAAAAAATGTGTTGAGGGGAGCTGGGTAGAGGATACAAAGGATCTTTCTGTACTATTTTCCTAATTTCCTGTGAATCTGTAATAACTTTCAAATAAAAAGCTAAAATATAAGTGAAAAACAAACTGAAGAGTTAGCTGGCCAAGGGAAGGGTGCAGGTAGGGGTGGGGAGACCATTCTGGGAGTGGGGGGGTTGAGGTCGAGGCAGGGGGGATACAAGTGCATTTGAGATATTGCTAGCAGTTCAGGTGGCTCAAGTGTGGGAGGCGGCAAGATGGGAGATGAGGTCAGGAGACATAAGCAGGGACCAGGTCACCTATATCAAGGAATTATGAAATTTTTTTTGAGATGGAGTCTTGCTCTGTCACCCAGGCTGGAGTGCAGTGGCGCGATCTCTGCTCACTGCAACCTTCGCCTCCTGGGTTCAAGCGATTCTCCTGCCTCAGCCTCCTGAGTAGCCGGGATTACAGGTGCCCCCCACCATGCCCGGCTAGTTTTTGTATTTTTAGTAGAGATGAGGTTTCGCCATGTTGGTCAGGCTGGTCTTGAACTCTTGACCTCAGATGATCCACCCTCCTCTGCCTCCCAAAGTGCTGGGATTACAGGCGTGAGCCACCAGGCCTGGCCAGAATTTTGAATTTTTTTCCCTAGGTGAGAAATGCTGGAATTATAGGCATGAGCCACCACTCCCGGCCTGCTTTATGTTTTAAGATCTCGCTGGAGCACATGGGAACTAATGAAGGGAGCCATGAGGGGCTCTCAGACTTGGCCATACAACCCATGAGACTGCCCAGACAGGGCAGGGGCTGGGGCAGGGTGGGGGTGAAGAAACTCTGGGCCTGATCCTTGAGGAGGGCTCCTTCCAAGGAAGGGGCAGGGCATGATTCTCAAACTCTGCAGTGAAGGCATTGGAGGCTGCCTCCAGGCAGCATGGATTCCCTTGCTGACTGGCTTCAGAAGTAGGGTTGAGGCCAGAACCAGACATTTTCAAAGTGGAGCTTGCTTGGATTTGTCCTAAAAAATTTGATCCAGGCCAGGTGCGGTGGCTCATGCCTGTAATCCCAGCATTTTGGGAGGCCCCCGAGGCCGAGGTGGGTGGATCACCTGAGGTCATTTACTGAATAGAGTAGTAGCCTTCGATTATGTCCCTCAGGTGCACTCCTCTTTCCAGAAGGAAGAGGGAATGAAAGGAAACTAACATGTAGGAGTGCCTCCTGTGGCAGCAACAGCAAAAACAGCAGCAGCCCCAACTCACATTTTTCAGTGCTTCCTTTGAGCTTGGCGCTGGGCTAGACCTCTGTTATCTCTGAATCTGCTCAGAACACTGCCTGTGCCAGTACTGTTACTACCCCCATTTTATACTAAAAGAAACTGAGGATGGGTTACTCCAGTGAGTGGCAAAACCTGGCATCTTAACCTTGGCGTCATCTGGACTGTGTCTTTTTTTTTTTTTTGAGATGGAGTTTCGCTCTTGTTGCCCGGGTTGGAGTGCAATGGCGCAGTCTCGTCTCATTGCAACCTCCCCACCTCCTGGGTTCAAGCGATTCTCGTGCCTCAGCCTCCCAGGTAGCTGGGACTACAGGTGCATACCACCACGCCCAATTAATTTTTGTATTTTTAGTAGAGACGGGATTTCAGCATGTTGGACAGGCTGGTCTCAAACCACTGATCTCAGGCAATCCACCCACCTCGGCCTCCCAAAGTGCTGGGATTACAGGCGTGAGTCACCGAGCCTGGCCCACATAGACTGTGTCTTGATTGAATCCTGCCTGTGGGTTGCCCTCTCTGGCTCTGAGATGTTGGTAGTGGCACCAGGTTTCTGGTAGAAGGGAAGGAGACACTTGGGCTTTGTGTCACCCAGCTGGCTGATGGACGGACAGCCTCCTGGGTGGTAGCATTTTCAGGCTCTAAGTTTGGGAAAGTTCCAGGCTTCTGACTCATTTCTGCATCCCATCCACCCTCACAGTCCTTTCCCAAGAACCACCAGGCCAAAGGTCTCACAGTTCAGAGCAGAGAGCCGTATACCCAGAGGAGCAGGCAGATAACAGAAACTTCCAGAAACCTCTGTGGGGACAGTGGAAGCGGCAAAAGGTACTGCAGCCTAGACAGTGCTTCCCATTAGGAAGAGTAGCCAGGGATGTGGAAACTTCAGACTACCCCCTGGGATTGGAGCCCTGAGTCCGTCCCCTCTGTCCCCAAGAGCTGACTTCCTGCATTCCTCTAGGGAGTTCCTGACAGCTGGATTCTAGAAGTAGAACTATGAGCTCACCTTTGGCCTCCCTTAGCAAGACCCGGAAAGTGCCCCTGCCCTCGGAGCCTGTGAATCCTGGGTAAGGAGCCAGCCTCAGGGGTCTTTCTGTCCCTGCCTTCCATCCTTCCATGGCCAGAGGATAATGACTCCTAGTGTCTTGGGGAATACAAATAAGGGCCACATAGCCTTCTCTGACCACTGTCTTTCTTTATACCTTCTTCTGGGGTACCCAGCTTTGGATCTGAGCATAAACTGGGTTGTGCTTTTAATAAGGTATGGGCCCTGGAGGAGTGGCTTGGCATCCCATCTGTTCATTCACTGTTCATTGATTAATTCTGCAAACACAGATGGTGTATGGACGTATCCTGGGCCAGGCCCTGTTTGGGGTTCTCAGTAAAGGGAATCTTTTACATCTGTCTAGCACTTTCATGTTTTCAAAACATTTTTTACCTCTCTTCCTTCTTGCTTTTCGGAATACCACTTTGAGTCTTTTTTTTTTTTTTTTTTTTTTTTTGAGACGGAGTCTC